TTGATATTGTAACAGTATTCAAATCAATTCAATTCATCTTTATTTGTATGGCACTTTTACCATGTAGATTGTGTCAAAGCAGCTTCACATAGAAGATCATAGTAAATTAAAACAGTGCAATTCAGTTTTTAGAGTTTAAGTCTAACAGTATTATCATTATTATTATTATTATTACGCGGTATCTGCTCCGTCTTTGGACACTTTTAAATCTAGACTTAAACACTATTTTTATTATTTAGCTATAACATTCGTATACATATATTTGTAATTTCATAGCCTAGATCTGTTTGTACATTTGTAGAGCACTTTTGATCAATTTTGTGTTTAAATGTTTTTGCCTTTGAAACAACTTTAATTATATATTTTTTGATCCACTTCAAATGTTGACTGCTGCACATCAAATATTTACTTGCTTACCCAAAATTCCTCCAACGTCAAACAATGTAGATAGATCCCCAGCTTTTTTAGGATCAAAATGAGCTGTGGAAGAGAGCAGAGAATGCTTTGTGACTTTATTTGGAATTGCTTGACTGTTTTTTCATTCATAAGGAGGAGTGAGTGAATGGGAGATAATCTGTTGAAAAATTCTCACCAACATTAGCGATGTACAGAGGAAGCCAGTAGAGGAAAGTGTAGCTGACCAACTTGGCAAAAAGCAAACAGAACGAGAACTCCACCACACCCTGCAGAATAAAGACAGAGCATTACACAACAATGACTGAGAGATTAACTTCTGTCTTTATGACAGCTGAGAGTAACCGTTTAAGCTCTGTACTTCGATAGACAAATGTGCAACATGACATCGCACAGTGAATGTTCTTACTCATTCAGATCAATTGCTCATTCGAAGCATCACTCATTGAATTTACTTAGATGCATGTTTTCTTTTCTTTTTGCAAGGAAGTTTCCAGTTTCTATTTCCACTAAACAATTATGATTATAGATTAAATATTAAACAACTAATAAGTGGTTCACAATTCTCAAACATTTTTGGGGTTCATTACTTAATGTCACATGATCTCTCTTATTACCTAGATTTTTTTGTAGTAAGTATTAAATTGTGTATTTTCACGCTTCCACATTCACAGTTCATGAATGAACAAATCCATCAATCAATATAGCATTTGTATTAAAAGAATTATAATGTGTATACAAATTAAATCTATCTATCTATCTATCTATCTATCTATCTATCTATCTATCTATCTATCTATCTATCTATCTATCTATCTATCTATCTATCTATCTATCTATCTATCTATCTATCTATATTTTATTTTTATTTATTTAAACGTCAAGCCTCTCTTGGACAGGTGCTGAGAATTATCAAGTTTGCTATAACACTTAAATGCATATAATGTGGCCAGTGTAATTGCAATGTCCATGTCAAATAAACCAAAATCAAAACACTAAAAGCACCAGAAGGTTCAAGCAAGTGCCCGTCTCAATCGATGATTCATTCAGGAAGGAAACACTAGAGTATTGCTGCGAGATGCACAAATGTTCTACTGCAGCTTTGTTTTGGCAAAGAATTTGGATGCCTAAATTGTAACACATCTGCTATTAATTTTTGGTGTTTTATAAATCAGTATCACACTCATGCTGATATTCTCAAAAATGGGACTCAAGTGTGATATTACCTAATCTGCAAATGCTGTCTGGAGTCTTGTTAATTTTAAAGTGATAGTACATTGAAAAAAATTACAATTTCCTAATTTTCTCACACTCATTTAGTTAACAAATACAATAATTCAGCAACTGACATCATAGTTGGAACAAAAATACTATTGAAGTCAATATCTATGTTTCCATCCACCTATTTTATGCAAAAATAAATAAATAAATAAAATAAAAAATAAAAAGGCCAAGATGCAAATACATTTTGAATAATTGAAGAATTAAAAGGATACACGTTTTATTCGATAAGAAAAAATATGCATATACTACCATGGAAACGATTTTACCAAACAAATTCCAGTAAGCGCATTAAAAAAGGTCATGTGATTTTGTTATAAGTGAACATGTGATGATAAAAATGTGTGTGAATGAACAAACCAGCAGGCTGAGCACACTGTAAAACATCTGAAATCAGGGCCGGAGTGGGACTCCTTTTAGCCCTTGAGATTCAAGCCTTAGACTGGCGTACTTCACAAATCAACTTTAGAAATAAATAAAAAGAGTGGAGCTGCGGTAAAATAATGAATAAAAAGAGTGAGGTTATGATAAAAAAATAAATTAATAAATTATTAAAAAAGTGCATCTTCTGTCAATGCAGGCAGCTAGAGACACTGGCCCTCGAGGCCAAAAATGGACGACCCACTGGGAATACTCCTGGTCCTCCCGATTAGGAAACCCTGTCTGAAATGTTGTTTTGGTCATTCTAAAACGCCTTAATCATCTCAGTATTAGTGTTATATCATTAATTATTATCCAGTAGTCAAAAAGTGTCTGTGCTCTGCGTCTCACGCTTTCAAACACCACCACATGTTCGTTGCATGTCAGCATCGTCTTCTGAGGCGAAAGTCATTTATTAACTTAAAAAACGATTGACGCAGTTCCTACCGCAGCAAATTCCATTTTTACTGTTAATATTTGGCACCAAATAATCAGGAAGTGACAATTTTGTTCTCTTTGTCTCAGTGAATAGAGAAGCTGCTTTATTCGCATGTCTTTTAAGTGATATTCCTGTTTTGAGCGTAAAGCTAATTAGCATTTTTGGATGGAAACATAGCTAGCAGCTGTTTCTAACAATCTTCAGTGTATCTTTCCATAAGCTCATAATATTATGACCGAACCATGAACTGTTTTTTGGTAACTTTTGGACTTTGAACAATGTGGAACTATTGCTGTCTATAGATGAAGAGGGAACACTCAGATATCATTTAAAACATCTTAATTTGTGTTCTGAACATGAAAGAAAATGTTTGTGATTTGGGACAACATGAGGGCAAGTTATTAATAACATTTTTCATTTTAGGACTAACTAAAACTATAAAAAAACAGGATTTTATATCTTTATATATTCATATTTTGAGTAATTGACATACTTATGTCAGTTTGAACATTTTTTTAAATATATATTATTTTAAAATCACAGGCTATAAATATAGCACATCCCAATTCTCTACCTAACAGTGAGAAAAAGAAGAAGTTTGTGTTGGTGCAAGGTGTTAGTAATTCTGGCCCATAATCTTGTTAAACTTCAGTAAAAATTTAGTTTGGAAAGCAAAAGCAATATTTTTAGGTTCCAAGAATAACAGACACTTCACTGGATAAAACCATCCAGAATTACGAACACATCAGGTCAACTCAATCACTTAAAAATAAGACTAACAGCTGCGGGTGTCCAACTGAGAATAACAGGCCACTCACAGGAATCCTGAGCGCTCCGCAGAAGCTGATGGCTTCACTGTGATCCTCCACAGGCTCCACTGCTGTAGATGTGTGACTGTTGAAGATCTCCTCATTAGTGGATGAATTCCTCAACAGAGGCTCCTCCTCCACTCTCTCCTAAACACATTACAGCCTATTAGTGTAACAACAATGAAGGTAAAACTGTGTTTGTTAAAGAAGACAATACTCTATGCTGGAATACACCAAACGACTTTCACAGAATTGATTTTTCTCCAAGTTTGCAGTCTATTAGTCAACACTAGCTGCTGCAAGTCACAGCTAGCAGATTTTAGGAAGTCGAAGTTGATAAATTTTACAAGATCACAAGGGGTTTTTCGCACAAACTAGTTTCTCTGAGTCAATCTGATCTATTTCACTTCACTTTGGATGCTGTTCATAATTTACACAGCACTGAAAAAAAAATATTCATTGGATTTACTCAATTTTTAAGATAAGTGGCTGCAAATAATTTATATAGGCTCAATTTAAACAAACATATTTAATTTAGTAATGTTCAACTAAATTTGTTTGATTAAATTCAGCCTATATAAATTGTTTGCAACCACAAAAATGTATAGTAAATTTAATTCCATCTTTTTTTTAGTAGGGTTAATATAATTGATTCTTATTATTCATACACTTGGGTTTTAAATTTTACAACCTTGAACATTGGGTTAATATCCTCATTTGCAATGTCAATGACTGGACTAGCAAAGTATGCCACTTGTTCACATACTGGCACTCGCATTCTCATATAACATAACGCCAACTGTACGGTTAAGATTTTTCTGAATTCTCAGTTTCTTCATTTGCTGTGTTTTTTTGACAATTTTTTTTCTTTCTGCCTTCAAATGCTAAAATAACTATTGCAACACACAATGGGGTAGGTTCAAAGAACCCCTGCTTAAAGGGATAGTTTGCCCAAAAAAGAAACTTACCACATCATTTACTCTCCCTCGGGTGGTTTTAAACATTTATGAGTTTCTCTCTTCTGTTGAACAAAAAAGAAATATGTTTTGAAGAAAGCTGATTGTTGGTACCCATTAACTTCTTTTAGAGATGAATAAAATACCAATGGGTTGTAGCTACCAGCCTTTTTCAAATTATCTTCTTTTGTGTTCAGCAGAAGAAAGAAACTCAAATAGGTTTGGAACAAATGAAGAGTGAGTAAATGATGGAAGAATTCTGTCTCTTTTTATTATCTCTTTAAGCATTGTGTCTAAAGCCTCAATGATGACCACAGAAGCCAATATTTTATTAGCTTCAGACTAAATGTACATCCAATAAAGATTTTATATTTTGAGCTGATTTTAGAATGGTTTACACTTGTCACCTGTAAAGACGCTCACATTTATTTTCAAGCAAAACTGATCACTTTTTAAAATTATAGTTAATTACTAAAGCTAGTACACAGCTAAACAGAAGAGAGCACGACTGGTTTACTGTAGCGTAGTGATAATTTAATTAGCATTTATTTAAACAGGATAAATGCACATTGAGAAAAAAAAAAAAAGCAACTAAACTTAACAAATAAAGATTAAGTAAATCAATCAAGTATATTCTCCTATGTTTTGGTCAAGCTTTGAAGTAACAGCATGTTGAGCTGATTTTAGATTGGTGTTTCTGTATTTGGATCTTTAACTTGATTTAAAGTTGTCTTTTATTGAAATGTGTTCTTTTACCCATTTTCTTTTTATAGTAAAGCACTTTGTGACTATGTCTGTGAAAGGTGCTATATAAATGGAGTTCAGATGCAAAAGCCGCTAAACACCTCTCTGCCAAAAATGAGATGATGAGATTGAGTGAATGCTTTAAGCTCGTAGTACACCTTCAACAAACAGTTTTGCTTCTAATCATCTAAATTCCAGCGTCAGCCCATTCAGAAATAACAGTTTGCTGGCAAAAGCCTCTAAACACCACTTGTCTTTGACAGCAAAAGCTGCTATATCCTGAGAACCAATCAGAAGGCGCAAATCGAATGATATGTTTTCAACAAAACTGCAAGCTGATACACCGGCTTTTATGAGGAGACTGTTTTATTATGCTTTCGATTTTAAAAGACGGAGATTGATGAACTGGATGAGCCTGTCCGGCTGCCAGTGAATGGCAAATGAAAACGTACCTTTCCTCAAAACTCTGTGCATTATAAGAAAAAGAAACACAACGTGCAGTCAGACGCGTAGCATGCATTCATAACATTTTTATGCTCAGCAACACTACTTTGAGTCCGATTTACTATACATTAAACGGCAACTGCTATTCACGAAAGAGAGTTAAGATGCTGTTTATTTATCCCATGTGGATGCTCTGAGGATAAACAAGAGACCAAGTATGGTGACAATAATTGAAAGCTTCTAAAATTGTCCGAGAGGCATCCCCTTTCAGCCCAGTAGACCTACCATGTGTTTTATTTGCTAATTTAAGCTATTTTTAAACGATAAATATAATGTATAAAACTATACTTGATTTATATTACTTCATATTACCTACATGTCTGATAAGCTTTTTATATTAATGGACAATGCACAGATATTGATGTTTCACAATGTTTTTACACTACACATTATTTGAATCTACCAATGTTTACATTGCTCTTCTGATATTTGGGATTTAGATTTAATGTAAGTAATGACAACAGATAGTTAAGATTTAATTAATGTCAGTTTTAATGTTATTGAATAAAGCACTTACTTGACAGATTTCATTCATTCATTTCATTGTGACATCTTTTAATCACAGCGGAATGAATCGCCACTTACTTTACAGATTTATATAATTTTAATTTTAGGTGGTTTGTGTAATGTGTTTTATGTTTAATAAAATAAATTCTAATAGCCTCTTTAGTGATTTTTCAACTAATTACAATGTCTTGTCTCAATAGGTGGATTTAGAGGTTTTGCAAAAAGCACAAGTGGATTGACCACTTGTTTGAAAAGTATTTTATTTACTAGCTAATAACCTTATGACATATAAAATTAAACTTCTAAACCTAATTATAGGAGCCTCATAGAAAATGCTTATTTACAAGAAAAGAGGTCTGATGGATTTAGAGGGTTTTGCATTTG